GTCGCAGGTGAGGCCGGGCTCGGCCGCCTGCCTGGGGCGGACGCTGGGCTGCGGCCCGGATCCCACGACCCCGGCCCTACCTTTCTCCGCGCCGTTCGGCTGCGTGGGGGAGGCCACGGGGTTCCGAGAGCGCGCGAAGGCGCTCATGAGCGGCAACGCGCCGGGCCGGTGGTTCCGAGGCCTGTGGGAGGGAGGCAGGCGGGGGGTCAAGGGGCGCCCTGTCCAGGCGCCCTGGCGCTCACTGTCACCTTGGAGGACACTCACCAGTCCTCCGGGTCGCAGTCTCGGAAGCCTTTGGCGAAAGGGTTGCTGGCGATCTTGAGCTGCGTGATCTGCAGAGAAGCCGGCTCTGAGCAAGCGGCTCCGAGCCCCTGCGCTGGGGGCCATAGGACCTCCGCAGAAGGGAGGGGATTGTTAGGCGGGGCTCCCCGGGAAGGGCCCCTCTACTCTCCGCGGACAGAAATCGGCTGACAGCTGCCCCCTCCCCCACGGAGGTTGTGCCCTTCTCCTGCAGCGGGGTATCAGCGGTGCCTACTTTCTCGTTAAGGAACCCTTTGCCGGCCCCAAGTGATTGGGATGAAGACTCTGCGCCCCTGGCTGGGATGGGAATGCGGTCACCTCCACCCCCACCCCTCAGTGGAAGAGAGCAGAGGGGCACCCTAGGAAACTCTGTAAACCTCGGATCAGGCCCCTGCCGGGGAGTTTCCGGAATAGTTTGGAAAACAAACTTTCAGGCTGCAGTGACAGTTATTGCTTGAGAGGTCAACCTGATAGGAGGCCTGGCTGTCCTACAGCAGAGAGGAGGGGGCTGCTTAAGGCCCTTGGGGGTGGCGTCCCCAGCTTGCAGGTCCAAACTTTGTTACGCAAGCAAGGACTACAAATTGCACCCCTTGCCAGCAGTGTTGAAGGTGCCGGGCACCAGGGCCTCACCCGGTGGTTCTGGTAGGCAGTGACTGCAGTGAAGCGTGTCTCCTCGAACACGAAGGTTTTGAAGTTCTCCTCAGCATATTTCTCGCTGTCTTTTCGCGGGTCCACATAGACCACATGGAAGCGGGGCTGGTATCTGTGCATGGAGTTGAGAATAATCTGGAAGACAAGATGGTGAAGTGGGAGCTAGGAAATGGGCCAAGCAGCGAACATCCCAGAGAACTCGGGCAAAATCCTTAACTCTCTAAATAAGGCCTGGCCACAGGGCCTAAGCGGAGGCTGAGACTGATTGGGGGCAAACAGGAAAGATGCTCTGAGTGACAAAAGATGAGGACTTAGTTTCTTTTTCCTTAGGTCCATGAGAATTATTTCAACCCCCATCATTGACCTGGATTCCACAAAGCCTCCTGCCTCTACCCCCACACATGGCCCCATCATCCTTTCCGCTTAAAAATCTCCAGCAAAAGAGGAGGAGTGGGAGTGAGGGAAGCAGGCGACCCCTCTCCTAGGCCCAAGGCCCACCAGGTCCTATGAGCCCCTGACCCCTGATCAGAGGGGCCTGCTCTCCGTAGCCTGTCCGTCACCCACACCCTGAGCTGCCCATGCTCTGCCCATGGCTCCAGAGGGCCTGCACGGGGGAGGGGGGTCGCTCACGTGGCCGTTGTCATCCAGCAGGTTGTTGGTCAGCTTGAGCTTATCGAAGGACACAATTTGCTTCATCCACTGTGCACCCTTGGCAGGTGAGTCAGGGTGGTAGTGTACTCGGCCTGGAGTGGCAGGGTCCGCCTTCCCGGCCACCAGCCAGGAGGAGCTGTGGAAGGCGTACCTGGGGAGGCACCAGAGCATGGGGTCATGCCATGTGATAGTTTGCTGAGTGAACCCCAAAAGTGCCTCTGATGAGTCTTCCCCATGGGTGAAATCGAGGTTTCTGTTGCCACACCCACTGGGAGCTTTTCAGAGAAGCGTTGTGGAGAAAACATAAAACTCCTTCCTCTCCCAGTACACAAGACAGCAGGAAGCCAGGCACAGAGAAGGGAGGCTGGGCTCTCAGAGCCACATTTCGTGGCATGCGGGTCTGCCTGTTCTGGGCCTCCCTGCTGGCCTCCAGTGTCGCTGGCTTGGCAGGAGCCTGGATTTGGCTGAGCAAGTAGCCTTGGGCACAGGGCGGACCAGTTCTCTTTATTAATTGCTGTTAATTGTCCAGGCATTTAAGGCCCGCCTTGCATAATCTCTCCCAGCCACCCCACCTTTCCTGCCCAGCTTTGGGGCCCAGCATTCCCTGGGTATGGGGGAAGGGGACAAGGTACCCACACTCACCTCGGGGGAAGAGACAGAAAGAAAGGTAGGAAGCAGGGCAAGGGGGCTGTCTACAGGGCCTGGCTCCCTCAGGCCAAGCCAGCCCAGAGTCCTAGGAGCTTCCTTGGGCCCACAGCTGGTGTATGGGGGGTGAGGGCGAGGAGCAAGCCTGTGTGACCTCTTGAGGGGAGTTCCTGAGAACCTCTGGGGGGTGGCATGTGTGGGTCTGGGGTCTGGCAGAGTGGGGAGGGATCAGGTCATGCAGGGTTAGGTGGGGCAGCTAGCACAGGTGCCTGGGATCACCTGGTCACTAATGCTGTGGGCTGCAGCCTAGTCATCACCAGACAGGGACCCATGGCTTCCCGGGGCACCCTCCCAGGTCCTGTGGGGCGCTCACCGGTAGCGCTTGTCGTCCACTGGCACGAAGTCCATGAGGAGCATGTAGTCAGCCATGGGGTCCATGCCAAAGAGCTTCACTTGGAAGGTGGGGAACATGCGCCTGGGGGCGGCGGGGTGGCAGGTCACCTCAGGTGGAGAAGGGCAGGGCCAGCCCACCTTGACCAGCTCAGGGAAGGGTGGCCTCCCTGCCGGCTGCTGCATTTGGTGACCTGGCCTCTCCATTTCATCTCCCTTCACTCAGCTGCTCTAACTCGACTAGGCCGCTGCCTAGCTGAGGGCAAGATGGGCAGCAGGGAAGTCTCCTGCCCCTTTGTGAAACACAGAAACGGCTAATTCAGCGGTAGAGCTGAACCTCCATGCCCCAACCTCAGCCCATAGCTTCTTCTGCCACCTTTGCTTTCGTGGACTGAGCCTAGCAATTGCCAATTTCTGCCGTTCCGCTCTTTCAGAGCTAGCCTCAGCAGGCAACACCGGAGCGACAGGGCTCGATCCCAGCAGTTCTCAGCCCTCGGCTGAACTCCCGATCTAAGCTCCCGGCTCGAACAAAGTGAAACCGGCGGGGTAGTCTGTGTGATTCTGAGAAGTCCCCGTTTGCCCTTTTGACTGGGTCTGCAGCTGCTCCCCAATTCCTCGGCAAGACCAAGGCCTTGGAGCCCACAGCCCCAACTATGCCCCGACTCTGAGCCCCTGCCTTCTGCCCAGTGGTGGAGTCTCCCTACCTTCCTTGGGGACAAACACAAGTTGCTACTCCCCTCAGCATAACCCCAACACACAGCTACTCAAGGTGGACTTGGCTTGTGTCCTCGTGGTCCCTAGTTCTCCCTCCCTTGGACTGCAACTTGATGACCAGATCCGGCTCTTAAAAGGGCATTATGCCTCTGGGCCCTGGAGGACAGCACCAGGCCTAGCCCTCCAGCCCTTCCTATGGCTTCTCCTCACAGGCAACTCCCTTCAGGCAGGGGGCAGAAAACAGATGCCATGAAGCTGGCCCTCCTGGACAGGACTGCCACCCCCCACTGCCTCTGCAGGCAGGAGGGTGCTGCAGAACGCTGGCTCCAGCGGTAAAGCCTGGCCACCGTCAAGGCCCTTGCCGGGCTGGCCTGGACGGGAGGCCAGCACACAGTCCTGGGGAGTGGGGTGAAGGGGGGCCTGTGTGCCCAGGACAGCAAGGAGAGCCTGGGAAAGAACCATGGAGCTGGAGCTGAGCACGGGCCCCAGGATCCCCCAGGGAGGACCGCCTCAGCGAGAAAACAGAAACCAGGAGAAGGCTCTGCAAACAGGCCCTAAACTCCTCTTGGCCAGGCGGACACGGAGCTGGTGTCTCCGTGTGTACATTAGACACAGCCCGGCACCCGCCTTTGTCTGCTGGTCAAATCCGTTGCATCGAAAAACTTGTTCCCCTTCTCCCTGCGCCCTTACAACAAATACAGGCCAATTGGAAAGCGGCGGGCCCCATCGGCATAGCCAGGCCCCACAATCATCCGAAATTTAGGCCTGAGAAAACTGGGTGCAACTTCCGCGGAACAGCATAGTGTTTTCACGAGTCTTAATTCTCTCCTAAAAATTTCCAGACAAGTGCCCAGCTGCCCCTTCTTTATCTAGTCCCGATAGACTGAACTGCGGAACCAAAGACCGAGTTCCCTTTGAGGTGGGATCCACTGGGAGCCGGCTGGTGGCGCGGCCCCTTGCAGACGGCTGCCTTCCCCCCATCCCGGTGTGCTGCGAGCCGGCCCCTGTTTCCGGCGGCGCCGTGTCCTGGGGCTGCGGGTCGGGCAGCAGGTCCGCGGGGCTTCTCTCTGCCGCCTTCCCAGCTTCCCGCGCCGTCCCCTCCCGCCTGGCACGCTAGGCGGCTGTCGCTGGAGCCGGGACGCGGAGAGCGTAGGAGCCGGCCCGCGCCGAGAGGGGCCCGCAGGTGGCCGGGCCGCGCCCCGCACCCCGCTTCTCGGTCCCGCTCGCGTGGATCGGGCCAAGGCGCGCTGTTGAAGACCAGCGCCACGTGGGGGAGGGTCGCAGCGGGGAGAGGGGCGCCCTGACCTGCCGGCCTTGGTGACGATCATCTCGGTGCCCAGCTGATTGAACTCGTCCCATAGCGCCTTCATCTCCAGCTGCACGCTCACGCTGGCCACCTTTGCGTTCTTCTTCACCGGCGCCTTGGCGGCGGCCGCGCAGCTGGCCCCGGGGCCCT